TATAGCCTTAAAGAAATCACTGCATATACTCTAAGTCTCCTTTTACAGTACATTTTATACCCCTACCCCTGTTTCAATTTTTTTAAGATTTTGAAAACAAGACTCTAATTATTGCCAGCTTACCCTATGTGCATGTTTTCTGACATGAACTGTCTAAAACCTGTTTGAAACTATTCTGATAACAAATTGAAAGCATTTTAGAATACTATAAATGTATTGTTTAGTAGTTAAGCATTCCAACATTCAAGATTACACAAAGTATCCAATCCTGCCTGTGTCTCCAGTCCACATCTTACTGTATGCCTATTTGTCAATGAAAGTTCACAATTTCTGCCTCAAATGGTCAGTTTAGAATTCTTGTCACAACAGTATCATCCCTAACCATATATCTAACATAAGTTAGTTAATATATGTCCTAGAAGTGTTTAAACAAAGCCATATTTGCAAAAGTTGTATTTATGAAGATATCAGTCTGGTGCATAAATTCACTAAAAGTTTGATTGAAATGACTGCTTACATCTGATTTTTGCATAACTTCCTAGCACAGTTATTGTTTACTTTATAAAAGACCTTTAAAATAAAAAAATCATAGCATTTACAAGTTAAATTATCTGTTTTATGACTCAGGGGTAGGCATTTTTCTCTGTGTTTTGCCCCTGGGGCCTCACATTTCCTAATTTTTTCCCCTGTTTCTAGCAATGTGGAATATTTACTACATATTTAGGATAGAACACACTATTGTAAGTTTTACTGAGGTCTTTTTGTAATTCTAGCTTGTACTTTTTTATGCCGCAGTCACAAAAAAGCACATTTAGGCGTTACGGCTTACTTTTGGGTTATCGACAGGACAAAAACACCCCACCAGAAATATTTAGGAAGGATCAATGAGTTGCAATTACTGCGAAGAGTAAATATAAGCACTTCTAAACAATTTAAATTACAAATAGGCATATATTATGAATTTATTTTGAATTCAGGGCTTTAAGTAAACCATGCATACTGTAAACTGTGAATTTATGCTGAGTCATCATAGTTAAGGCCCAGGATTTTCTCAATCTTCATGAAATATTTATAAAACTTCATATTTGAGTTAAATTCTTTAAAATCTCTGAGATAAACCAGATTTTGTGAAATTCTGTATGTTCTATTTTTTAACCCTATATACAAACATTTATTCAAATAGAAAACTCTCTAAAAACACTTTTTCTCACAACAATACTTATTTATCAGAATTATAGCCTTAAAGAAATCACTGCATATACTCTAAGTCTCCTTTTACAGTACATTTTATACCCCTACCCCTGTTTCAATTTTTTTAAGATTTTGAAAACAAGACTCTAATTATTGCCAGCTTACCCTATGTGCATGTTTTCTGACATGAACTGTCTAAAACCTGTTTGAAACTATTCTGATAACAAATTGAAAGCATTTTAGAATACTATAAATGTATTGTTTAGTAGTTAAGCATTCCAACATTCAAGATTACACAAAGTATCCAATCCTGCCTGTGTCTCCAGTCCACATCTTACTGTATGCCTATTTGTCAATGAAAGTTCACAATTTCTGCCTCAAATGGTCAGTTTAGAATTCTTGTCACAACAGTATCATCCCTAACCATATATCTAACATAAGTTAGTTAATATATGTCCTAGAAGTGTTTAAACAAAGCCATATTTGCAAAAGTTGTATTTATGAAGATATCAGTCTGGTGCATAAATTCACTAAAAGTTTGATTGAAATGACTGCTTACATCTGATTTTTGCATAACTTCCTAGCACAGTTATTGTTTACTTTATAAAAGACCTTTAAAATAAAAAAATCATAGCATTTACAAGTTAAATTATCTGTTTTATGACTCAGGGGTAGGCATTTTTCTCTGTGTTTTGCCCCTGGGGCCTCACATTTCCTAATTTTTTCCCCTGTTTCTAGCAATGTGGAATATTTACTACATATTTAGGATAGAACACACTATTGTAAGTTTTACTGAGGTCTTTTTGTAATTCTAGCTTGTACTTTTTTATGCCGCAGTCACAAAAAAGCACATTTAGGCGTTACGGCTTACTTTTGGGTTATCGACAGGACAAAAACACCCCACCAGAAATATTTAGGAAGGATCAATGAGTTGCAATTACTGCGAAGAGTAAACAATTTAAATTACAAATAGGCATATATTATGAATTTATTTTGAATTCAGGGCTTTAAGTAAACCATGCATACTGTAAACTGTGAATTTATGCTGAGTCATCATAGTTAAGGCCCAGGATTTTCTCAATCTTCATGAAATATTTATAAAACTTCATATTTGAGTTAAAATCTCTGAGATAAACCAGATTTTGTGAAATTCTGTATGTTCTATTTTTTAACCCTATATAGGTTGCAATTCTGTAAATACAGACAATGCAATTTCCCATAGGAACTCCCTTTGCGGCTAAAACTGTGACACTTTTACTATGAAGTTTCGTGAAAAATAATATCCCAGAACGGAAAGTTTATATGCACTACTATTTTATTCAAAGGTCTAAATATAGGGCTGTGCGGCATATTTTCAACATTTATATGCCCTGAACTTCTAAGAGTTTAAACTTATAATAAAATTCTATACTACCCTTACCTCCATTTTTGGACCTCCTAAGAATTAAAATTTAGCCGCTACCATGTTTTTCTATACTGGTTACATTCCCAAGTGATGTCTCTATGAGATGAAACACAGAGATCATCAATGGGAACCAGTACGTTAACAAATTAACATACCTATGAATATTAAATATCTCCCCAAAAGAGGCGTGGTTTGAGAAACAGCTGTATTTACAAAGTGCAACCTATAACTTCATTCACACATCAAAGCTTCAATGTCGTAATAACCAGTCTAAATTGGACATAACCCTGTCCTCAACTTTATTAAATCGGCACGTGTGCAATTGTGATCAAGTACTGATTAAATACGGTTAGATTTAAATATAAATCTCAGAATTGTCAAGGTATAGTTAACGTTCACTACATTTTCAATACCGTCTAGCGCAGTTTAATCGAAATGAAATTGACTATACTAATCGCGAAAAGTGTAGAAAGGTTGATAAATATACAAACTGTGATGGTTTTTGTTACGAATGAATCCCTAGTGCCTAGTGGTTAATTTACAGTCAAGTCATCACACTCTTCCTCTAATTAAGGATCAATTTCATTTCGTGATTAATTAATATTTTGGTAAAGTTTTACTAGTTATTACTATTTGTTAATTCTTAAAGTACCAATCCTTGACAGGACATTTTATATGTACAAATATTGCAATCGTATCAAATGGGAAATGTTTTACAGACCACCTGTTAACATATACAGTCCGCCAAAAGTTAAGCACCACCTAAATATAACTGGCAATATTTTTTTAACTATTGCGAAAAAAATATTTATGTTTGGTATTATGAATTGCCTATAACATACACTAAGAAAATTCATTGCGACAAAAAAAATAAAATTCCGATAAACCCGTCAAGCAACTTTTATTAAAGGTCATCTGCACTTTTACAAATACACTGTTTCGATGCCTTTACATCATCTTCCTACTTTCACGCGTACAGGTGAAATTTGACCTTTACCAAGTCACTGTAAAATATGGCAAGGCGTAAGTTATCTGTGACTGAACGTTGACAAGCAATTGACATGCCACATGGCGTTAGGAGCACTAGGAGCATAGGTGACCATTTCAATGTTAATCACACCGTCATTGTCAGATTTTTTACAACGTCATGTTGACACAGGAACTGTAAATGATAGACCAAGGTCCGGAAGACCCCGTTTTTACTACCTATTGTGATGACAGACTGCTTATTGGTCCTGCTAAAGCCAACCCATATACTCCTGTCCCACAGCCTAGACACCACTGGGCTCTAGGTGATCGTGCTAGCGTTCGAACATTGGTCCGTCGACTTCATAGAGTGTACCTAAGAGCACGTCGTGTTGTCAAGAGACCTTCCCTATCAGCCAGGCACCATATAATCAGGTTTCAAAAGGCTAATGACCATCGACGCTGGAACAGGAGAAGCTGGAAAAATTTTCAATGTTCAGATGAGATTCGGTTACTGTAACGACCAATAGACGGTAGAATACGAGTTTGGCGGGGAAATAAAACAGCCTTTGACCAAAATAACAGTTGCCCAACGACTGCATTCGATGCTGGTGGTGTTACAGTATTGGGTTGCTTCTCATACTGTTGTAAGCTGGGTATGCACATTTTGCAGAGTAACATGAACAGATAGACATACAGGGATTTGGTGCATAGAAACATTGTAGTCCCTCATTTTGATAATCCCCCACTTTCGTCAATACCCTTGTACATGGACGACATCGCTAGACCACACAGGGTAAGGATTATTACCGAGTACAAAAAGCAAGAAGCCATTGACACTATCTTTTACCCTATCGAACATGTATGGGATGCCATTGGCAGAAATCTTAATCGCGGGATCCACCTGTGCAAAATCTTGGCGATTTAAGAGGAGCAATTGTTGATGAATGGAATAAATTTGCTTAACTAAAGTTCATAAGGTTTGCACAGAGTGTGAGACGCCGTGTTATGGAACTGTACCGGAAGAGAGGTGGTAACACGTGCTATTGACTCAAATATTGACATCAAATTTGCCGAACACACCAAAGATTATTTGTAGAGACTTTTTAATGATATTGGGTGATTAATTGTTGTAAAAAAATTAAATCACAGTGAAACTTAAATTCCGTTTCTGATTTGTGTAATTTTCACTATTTCTATGAACGCGAAATTCAAATGCATAGAACCTGCACAAGTGACCAAACTTAGGTTTATGGTTTGTTTATGGTATATGTTAGAAAAATTGCTACATGAATATTTTCTCTTTTTCGAGGATTAACTGATTTTTTTAAATGAAAAAAATTCGATGCAATGAAAATAGGTGGTGCTTAACTTTTGGCGGACTGTATATAAACCGGTTTACCTTCTTATGATAAAAGAACGTTTATTCTAAACATACCCGCTTGGATCATATATGCACTGAACAAAGTAAAGTTGCTTGTTCGTTCCCCTCCACAGAAGTCTTCATTATTTCCAGGACAAACATTTTTGCAATTGCTGACTGGTAATTGCGAGCTTCTGGTAATCGTTGTATATTTCTTATATGGCACACACAGACATTCTACATTCTAAAATATTAAATAGAAGAAAATCTTTACTATGTCAGGTTCGTTTCTTTGTGTTCACAACTGTAAATTCTTATGTACATGTACATTCATGTCGATAATGGAAATTGTAAAATTTGCCAAAAATTTAATCAATTGATTGCTGCTGTGAGAATAAATATGGGCCTCTTTGTCCCTTTTTCACATTTTCACCACATATTGGAAAAAAGCCTTGCTAAAGTGCGACGTCCGTTTAGCTGTGCGAGATTATAAATAAGTAAGCAGACATGTCAAGTCGGAAAGAGGACATTTAACCAGTGCATCGTGTATTTCAGTTACCAAGTTTTTTAAAGAACCCTTGCAATTTTTTTTGAGGTGGCAGAATGTCTGCCCCTTTTCAACACATTTTCAGGGCAGTCTAAATTTCTTGCCTTCCATATTAGTCTCCTTATTCGGTCATGTTGGTGAAACCTTCCTATCGTATTATTTGATTATGTGTTTTTGTCCTGAATACACATGACATTTTTGCCACTGAAAAAAAGGTAAAATCACAAAAATACTGAACTCCGAGGAAAATTCAAAAAGGAAAGTCCCCAATCAAATGGCAAAATCAAAAAAACAAACACATCAAACGAATGGATAACAACTGTCATATTCCTGACTTGGTACAGGCATTTTCTTATGTTGAAAATGGTGGATTGAACCTAGTTTTATAGCTAGCTAAACCTGTCACTTGTATGACAGTCTCATCAAATTCCATTATATTGACAACGATGAGTGAACAAAACAAACAGACACTATAGGTAAAAATGTCAAAAATAGGGGTACAGCAGTCAACATTGTGTTATCATCTTAATCACTATAAAACAAACAAGAAGACCTGTTGGTGACCTTCTGCTGTTGTCTGTTCTATGGTCGGGTTGTTGCCTCTTTGACACATTCCCCATTGCCATTCTCAATTTTAAATGTAACGAAGAAGCACAAAAAGGCATATATCAAATTTAAAATCCTCATTTTGCTTATATTATACGATTTTATATATCTATGTAAAATCCACCCATAAAGGATGGAAGGTTTTAAGTACTGGCGTGAACTTAAGGTAAGTAGCAATCAATCAATATACCTATCTTGTTTATATCCAAAACGATAATGTCCGTAAACTATACATTTCCTGATAATTTCAGTCATTTTAATATATGCATTGTGATTTTGACCTTTGACCTAAAGAGCCCATACAATCTATAATAGAGATATTTTAATCCCAATGAGAATTTTCGAGCTTCAGATTGGATAACATCTTTTAAAATCTGAAAGGAACTCTCAGGAAAGACTGTTCTAGAACACTCTGAGAACAGTTCTCCTGAAACCTTTACAACAGTTCCTACCAGAAGCTGGTTTACCTAAGAACAGGTTTGGACAGTTCTATCCTCGAACAGGTTTATGCAGTTTTTACCTCGAACAGCTTTTGGAGATTTCTAACCTCGAACAGTTACAACAAAAATGTATCGTGGATAGTTCTTACTTTCGACAGATTCTGACTGTATTACCTTAGAACAGTTTTGGACAGTTATAAGCGTGGACAAATTCTGACTGTTATACCATAAAACAGTTTTGGACAGTTCTAACCGTGGATAGATTCTGACTGTTTACCCTAAAACAGTTGTGGACAGTTCTAAGCTTGGACTGTTCTGACTGTTTACCCTATAACAGTTTTGGACAGTTCTAACCGTAGACAGATTCGGACTATTTACTCTATAGCAGTTTGAGACAGTTCTAATTGTGGACAGATTCTGACTATTTACCCAATAACAGTTTAGGACAGTTCTAACCGTGGACTGATTCTGACTCTTTTATCTCAGCACCTAAATGTTGCTGTTCATGACAATATTAAAAATCTATCATGTTTTAGTTAAATTATGTAATATATGTGATTAAATATATATCTGATATGCAATATATAGTTTGTCTCTTAATACATGTAATAAGTTATCTCCTAGAACCATCAACGATCTGGATATCCCAATTTCTGCTAATGGATATCGGAATTCTGATTTGTATTGGATTTCAATTGTCGGAATTCTGATTTGCTGTTTGATTTTAATTTCCGTATTCTTATTTGTCTTGGATTTTGATTATCGGAATTCTGATTTGTATTGAATTTTAATTATCGAGATTCTGATTTGTATTGGATTTTCATTGTCGGAATTTTGATTTGTATTGGATTATAATTATCGGAATTCTGATTTGTATTGGATTTTTATTGTCGGAATTCTGATTTTTTATTGGATTTCAATTGCCGGGATTCTGATTTGTATTGTATTTTAATTATCGGAATTCTGATTTGTATTGGATTTTATTTGTCGGAATTCTATCTGCTTTGTATTGGATTTTCTTTGTCGGAATTTTGATTTGTATTGGATTTTGATTGTCGGAATTCTGATTGGTGATGGATTTTAATTGTCGGGATTCTGATTTGTTTTGGATTTTAATTGTCGGAATACTGATTTGTATTGGATTTTAATTATCAAGATTCTGATTTGTATTGGATTTTAATTGTCGGAATTCTGATTTGTATTGAATTTTAATTTTCAGAATTTAGATTTGTATCAATTGGACCAAAATATATCGGAATTCCACTTTCTACTAGAGTATATTGAAAGTCCAATTTGATTTATGCATCTAACTGTATTCCAATTTGTTCTGTAATAAATACAAAAAATGGAAAAAAAAACTCTGATCCGATTGGACAGTTCTAACCGTGGACTGATTCTGACTCTTTTACCTCAGCACCTAACTGTTACTGTTGATGAAAATATTAAAAATCTATCATGTTTTAGTCAAATTATGTAACATATGTGAATAATCATATATCTCATATTCAATATATAGTTTGTCTCTTAACACATGTAATAAGTTATCTTCTAGTACAATTCAGGATCTGGATATCCCAATTTCTGCCAATGGATATCAAATTCTGATTTGTATTGGATTTTAATTGTCGGAATTCTGATTTGTAAGAAATATTTAATGTCGGAATTCTAATTTGTATTGGATTTTCATTGTCGGAATATGATTTGTATTGGATTTAAATTATCGGGATTCTGATTTGTATTGGATCTTAATTATCGGAATTCTGATTTGTATTGATTTTAATTATCGGAATTCTGATTTGTATTGGATCTTAATTATCGGAATTCTGATTTGTATTGGATTTTAATTGCCAGGATTCTGATTTGTATTGGATCTTTATTATCGCGATTCTGATTTGTTTTGGATTTTAATTGTCGGATTTCTAATTGCTTTGTTTGGAATTTTAATTGCCGGGATTCTGATTTGTATTGGATTTTAATTTTCGGGATTCTGATTTGTTTTGGATTTTTAATGTCGGAATTCTAATTGCTTTGTCATGTTTCTAATGGTTTTTCATTGTCGGAATATGATTTTTATTGGATTTTAATTATCGGGATTCTGATTTGTATTGGATTTTAATTATCGGGATTCTGATTTGTATTGGATTTTAATTTTCAGAATTTTGATTTGTATTAATTGGACTTAAATATATCAGAATTCCACTTTCTACTAGGATGCATTGAAATTCCGTTTTGATTTCTGGATCCAACTAAATTCCAATTTGTTCTGTAATATAATAAAAAAATATGGAAAAAAAACTCTGATCCGAAAACGCTTTTCGGAATTATCTGATTACGTTTGATTTTAAGCATCCAGCTTACCTAAAGAACTGCCAAGTTTTAAGTCTATCGACGTATCAATATCAATACTCAGAACTAACAAAGTACAAATAAGAGATTTTATCATTGACTTAGCATAGTTGTGATATTCTTCTTTATATCCATGCATTTTTACCCACCAGTTTCTTAGACTTACGTTCATAAATATGAAGCTTCCAGGAGTTAGGGAAGGACACTTATGGGAACACGAAAATACTGAGTTATCAGACATGTTAAATTGTCCACGATGGGTTTTGTTTACGGCAGCTGTTTTTATATAGTAACAACCTGAAACGAAACAACACAGTATTATACATGTAGCTTGTTAAATTTCAGATAGAAATGCCACCTTGAATATCTACTCTCAATTTTTTTAAATTATTTTTTACCTTATTGAAATATTAACCATGCACAAATGTATATAGCAGACATTGCGACACATTGTCTATAAACCTATCTATTTTATAAGACTGACCCTTAACTTCTTGATGTCTTGTGGTTATTTTCGTAGATAGATTTAGTTGTTGTCAAATAGAGTTTTACTCCCATACCCATGTACTCATATACATAATTCATGTAGTAAAATATACACTAGGTGTATCATATGAAGTAATCGCTCAGTTCTTTTCCATCATATCAGGTTTGAAAGAAAAATTGCTTACCGTTTTTACGAAGAGAAATAATAATTTATGATTAAGTGATTTGGATAAAATTGTATACTAGTAAGTATCATGTGACCCATGCTTACGTTAAGCTAAACATACTCTAGTTCAAAACAAAATCCTTAAATTAGGTCCAAAAATTAGTTCATTAGCTTACATATACAAACGCTGAAAAAAAACTCAAAAACGACAAGCAAACATAGATTTTCTAGGTACATGTAGGTTCGTTTGACACTATAGAAATGAAACGCAGGAAAGTTCTGTTAAAAGTTAAATAGGAAACACAATCAAAGAAAAAGGAGATAAAAAAAGATTCAACGTTTTACCAAAAAATAAAAAAAAAAGAGACACAAATCCCAACAAAAATCAAGAGAAAGTAACCTTTATAAATGTATAGTTCATTATCCTTTTTTCATAAGTTCAAAGTATTTTAGAGCATAATATATTGTTAAGACACTTGTCTAACGTTGAAACCCGTATTATTACATGTTAATGTCCTTCCCCAGTTTTCTATCGATAGGTTGGGTCTTTTATTCCCGAATCTCTCCTATTCATCAATTAAAAAAAACAGTAAATAAACCGTCTAAGAGAGTTCCATCATTAGCCTCAGCACATCATATAGTTTTAAACATTTTAATTACCTAATTATCAAATCGATCTAGTACCAATTGAATATCTACTTAGTGGAAGACCTGGGATATGGGAGACAACTCTTATATAGGTATTGAAATTCATTTGTGCGTTTTAACCTAGCAGTAATTGAAATAGTGATCAAGCGTTTATGTTGTTTACATTTGGTTATGAGGATGATTAAGGAGCATCTAAGAAAATTGTACACTGTTCACACCACCACATTTGTTTTTAAATTAAAAAATCAAAAGCAGATAAGGATAGAAGTTCGAAAATTAACATTCATACATGGAATGCGTTAAAATCAAATATGTACTAAGGAGTTTTTGGAATGACTCTTGACATTATTTAGATAAAATCTTGGAATGAAAAAAATGTATTGAATGATAAAGTTACAATTTTTCAGAGCTAAACAATTGGTTGATAAGATGTACTTAACTCTATGTCTTTGGTTTTCAAATACAAACAGCAATATTGTAGAATATATGATCTTAACAGCTATCCTATATGTAGTACAATATAATGCTAATAGATAATCTACATAAGCAGAATACTGTCAAAACATTGAATTTATCGTCTGTTAATAGGGCATTTCATAGTCTTGGGGAGAGAAACCAACATGCTCATAGTTGAAGGCCGTACGGTGACCCATAGTTGCTAGTTTTTACGTTGTTTTTTTGGTCTCTGGAGGAGAGTTGTCTCGTTGGCAATCATACCACATCTTCTTATGTTTATTCCAACGTCCGACCATATCGTAAAAGTATGCGTAAAAGGATATACAAAATCACCAACTACATATACCATGCGACGAATAAACAACATATTGGCAATAAGTTTTACAAAATACGTTAATACGTGCGACGAATGCCTAGTGTTAGCCATGGCTCAAACCTGTCATTATTTGCCAGTTATGTCAAAACTTATTACCGATGCTGCATTTTAATTATCATTATTTTACCTTCGTAAACTACAACAGGTGACCTCTGCACAATACCATTTATCCAGTATTCAACCTTGTTTGTTAATATATTTGCTATTTTATCTATAGCATTTGAGGTATTACAGGTACTGGGTTGACAGTGTTTGAAAATTGCTGAACCGCCAAATCCTTCTTTGCAAGATTTGAAGGATTCTAGCCATGTTGTCTTCTCGGAGTGTGCAATCAATGAATCTAAAAAGTAATTATCATTCTGTACATTTTTTGAAACACAATTTTTAGAATTAGTGAAGTATATTTTTTGAGACATTCATAACTTGAGATTGCATTGCTTTACTGTGGATAGAAATTTGAAAATCTAACCAATGATTTGGTTTTTTTTTTCTTTTAGCCTATTATACACATTATATAGGCTATCCAAGTGATCTTTGAAAATAACTCGAAGCACGAGGGGAATACATTTCTTAAGGATGTTCGCTCCTCTTGTTTTGAATTTTTTGCCAGATTTTCGGATTCCTCTGGTTTTATTCATGTTTTGACATTAAATTTTTTTTCCACTAACCCCTAGTTTTCTTTTCAGTATTTTATTACATATAGTTATACAAGTCATATTTGAAAATCTTACAAAATCCTTGTTATTTTTTCATAGTTTTTAAAAAAGAAAAGCGGACAATGTTAAAAATATGAAAAATCTAGAGAGAATCATTTCCCGCCAAATTTTCAGTGGCTTATATCTCGAAAACAAGCACACGGACCCTTCATTTTTTCGTGCTTTTTTAGTTCCTTCATTTATATACTTTCATTTTATAACAGTCTTTTAAACGTCTTGTTATTTTGAAACAGAGTAGCGAACATCCTTAACATAAAAATGTTATTATAGCAAATTTCAAGAAAACAATATCCATATGTTCATGCCATTTCAACATGTACAACATGACTGGCTACTGGGTGGACAATCTTATTATCTGATCACTTGTAGAACTGTTCTACAATATACGAAAGAACTGTCAGTCTCTTCTAGAACAGAACTAATACTCATTTCTATGTAAAACTGATCAACCGTGTTTAAAAGAGGGGCGAAAGATACCTAAGGGACATTCAAACTCATAGATCGAAAATAAACTGACAACGCCATGGCTAAAAAATAAAAAGACAAACAGACAAATAATAGTAGATGACACATGGAAAACTAAAGACTAAGCAACACGAACCCCACCAAAAACTGGGGGTGATCTCAGGTGCTCCGGAAGGGTAAGCAGATCCTGCTCCACATGTGGCACCCGTCGTGTTGCTCATGTTATTACAAATCCGGTAAATAGTCTAATCCGGTAGGTCACATTCGTCATTAAGGTGAGAACTGTCAGAAACTTCGACTTTCAGGATGAAAACAACTTAAAAATAACTCCAGCAGACATAGTCCGGTGGGTATGTTAAACCTGAATCCGATTCCCACGGAGTATAATTCCTCCGTGGGAATCGGATCAAGATAGTACTTATGGACACAATCATCTCATGTTGAACTTCAAAATCACTATTTGCGAGATTATGTTTATGATTACCTCGGGAACATCATACCCGGTGTATAGTCAGGATCACTTCTAACATGTCTTAAAACCTGTCAGAAATCTTACATTGAACTATATTTAGCAGTAAAACTTGTTCTAGGGGAAAACTGTCAGAACTTGCTCTTACCAATTGGTAGAACTTTCCAAAACTTTTTCTACGGGAGAACTGCCAGTCTGTTTAAGGACAGAATTCATCATGTTTAGGGTCATTTTTTTCAAATATAAGGTGTTCGAAGGGAGAACTGTCAGAAATAATTTAATGGTAGAACAACTGATGCCAGACTTTTGATGGTGTCAGAACTGTTCTGAAGACGGTTGAAAAACGTTCGGACAGTCCTGTTATATTTTAAGTCAAGTAAGAACTGATCCCATATTAAGGGTCTGCATAATCGGTCGACTCTGGGGAAGTATACATGTAGTTCCTTAATCTGCCATCGAAACAGTTGGACTGACATATATATCATACTGATAGATTTTAAGACAGGTTATAGCTGATTCCTTCTTAATCTCAAAGAGTTGTTACAGTTGTTCTTAAAAAAGCAAAGAGAAGTTTGCCTGTCAACTACACCATACATCGGTTAGAACGTCCTCCACAAATTCCGTATAGAAAAAAATATTATCAAAATCTACTCTATGTTTTAATAAAATTTCAGTCGAGATAATTAATACCACGTTGTGATGACACTTCTGTTTTTTTTTAAGGAATAAAGTCAGACGTAGTTAATTTCTAATAATAGTGTACACTTTGTCATATGAGCTTGTAATCTTTACGTAGACACGGGAGGCGTGGGGGGAGGGGGGGGAGATCTCAACACTATAATTTTGATACAGTCGTCCAGCTGGGATTTAAAAAACCACCACCACCCATTCAACCCGCTGTGCATTTATTGAAATTATGTGAAAATTCCGAGCCATATATATATTTGAATTCAAAATCCTAACCCATTCATTTATTTCTTAGTTACCACATAAAACATCTGTGACAAATAATATAGTCTAATATAGTACAAATATCTAATCGGAAGATGTCAATTTATGACCCATTGATATATTTACCGTGGTGAAATTGCACCCCATTAATATATTTAATATATATAAATAAGTGACACATTCAAGGGGCATGTCTGCCTATACTTATCATATAGGAAACCGCCTCCCCTTCCCCCTCCCAACCACAGATTACAAGTGGCCAAGTTATAAATAGAAATTATTTGTTGACAAAATAATACACAGTAATAATTTATATTTCACTTACCTGTTGATGCATCTCTGGTCACAAGAAAAAGTATTAAATGTAAAATGTATACACAACTCATTTTAAGTTTAAATGAAAGTTATCATATTGATCATCACATGCGATGTATATAGTGATAGTTTGGAAACACACGCTAACACATTGTATCTATATATGTACATGTATATTTAACTTGTCAGAATTCCTGAGTGTCTTATTTCTGACTGATCAGGAAGTGGTTGAAAAGCACTTTAAATTACGTATCGAGAATAGATGATAAATAAGTGTTCATAGGAAATCAAATTTACTCTAAATTATCTACGTGAAATATCCTCTATACTATACAATGACTGACCTAAATTTCTCACAAATGAAACATACAAATCTTTAATTCAAATACGTTTAAAGTTTGCGTTGAACAGCAATATTTAGTGAGAGCCATCAAATAAGATTATTCAATTAATAACAAGCCGAGTGCAGAAATTGGGTCAAAACCCTTGTTTAAGACAGTACAGACACACCATGACCATGATAACGCACATTTGTTATTCTGACCAAAACTTGAAGGTAAATCACCATCCTACTAAAAAAAAAGAAAATTGATTCGGGACGAAAAATTTACAAATTAAAACGCTAAGACTACTAAATTTATAAATAATTATTTAATAACAGATTTGGGTTATAGTATGTACATAATATGTAGAGGTGACAGCACATTCATGTAAAAAAAAGGAACAAAAAAGCAATTAAGAACAAGTATTTACAGTATATTTTACATAAAAGTTACTAATGAAAAGGGTAGCATCGTGCCATATAAACTTCTCAGAGGTAATAACTTTGACAAACATTGCTTATGCCTTGGCATTCGGTGAGGGAATTTCCAACGTTAAAGCAAATGACATTGGTCCAAGGGTAGTCCATTCATTACGATAATGTGTAATTATTTCAAAAAATTTATTACATTATTTCATTAAAAATACCAAGACATTTTGACAAATGAGTGCGCTTAAGATAATCATCTATATCAACAATAACACAATAAATCACCATAGCGTTTACAAAAGATAACTATGCCCCGTCGAGGATAAAAAAAAAAGACACATGAATATCTTAAAACAAATAAAAATTCTTAATTTAGATCTAATTCGAAATAACAAAATGAAAATAACATGCATTTTCCGTGTGAAGTGCTTTTCTGGATTAACCTTCATCAGGTAAATCTAAAATGTCGGTGTCAATTCACGTTCTAAATAAATATTTCTGAGAGCTATCATTTACTGTAGAAAGAATGGTGGTAATAACTGTAGAAAGATGTTTGGTGTAAACATATTTTATTAATAAAATTCAAGTTAAATAATGTACACAATTTGGCATTAACATACTAATACAATTGAATAATTAATAGGATCCGGAAACAAGCTGTTAACTTATATTAATCCAAATAATAAGAAAGATGTTTAGTCGAATATCTTGACGACCCGGCTATATGTCGTTCTTTAAAAAGATTCTCTGAAGTTTAGGTATAAAGGCGGGATATATTGATGTTAATAACAACGGACAACACCACTGATTAGTTGTTCCCTAAAATATCCTTTTGCGTGAATGGTGTAAGGGTGTGTATAGGATTCCCTGTTGTTTTTTTTTTTATGTGAATCCAAGTGTTTTAGTAAGTGTAATATATTCCAAATAATGATTTTTGCTTATACGAACAATTTTGTTAAAGGCTGTGTCTACTGGAACAACATCTCATTTGTCTTGGTGAGACGATAAAGCATCCAAAACCTCAGATTTCTTGAAAGGGTTAGGAACCCGTATGCTTATTGTATATTTTGAATGCGTCTCTGAATGCATGACCAAACAGCTTTGATAAATTCCGAAAAAGTGTCCAGTATTGGTTCACCTGGCTTCTGCTTCAATAATTTTCTGGCATAGTTCTCAACTGCATCTTGATTAAGATCTTCTTCCAGTTGGCAAGTTGTGGAATTGGATATATCTGGCCTTTGATTAACAACTCTCTTAAGTTGTTTGATTTTAAGACAGGTCTCCAGTAAGAACGTGACTATTGGGGCTATATTTGTATGGGGATGATGAGCAATCGGGAAGTTTAGATTTTACATCCTTGAGGGGGAAATATTCTATAACCCTCTTGTGGTTACAAAATCTTGCATTCAATAGGTTTGGTTTTAATATATGAAATTACAGGTGTAGTTTTATCTTTAAAGCAATCAGGTATTGTTTTCTGCACTCATTTTTTATGCAAATTATTTTGTTAATAATAATAGCATCTTAAACCTTAAAAGAGAATGCTTCATTTGCAAAACATGGTTTCGTCGTGTTTGAAGGTAGTTTTATGGGTTAGAATAGTTAGTGATTATATTAGCATTGTCCTTTACCATTGAAACCAATATGCAAATAGGAGAATTTGAATCAATAACGGAAATTTTGGGGGCCTCTTTAAGATAGTGAATGGAGCTTTTATATTGGTATATAAAACTGATAAACTCAAATGCAGTGAATTCCCAAATCTTTCGGAACATAAGAAAGTAAACAATTCATAGACACAGTGCAAACTGCAAATGGTGACAATTTTCGATTACCTGGGATAAAAAAACATATCTGCACCATTGAATCCGTGTGGCTGTTCCTAATTCTCGAATCCAGAAATCTTCTCTTTGTAAGCAATATATATTTCTCAATACGGGGTCACTTGTTGAATGATATATTTTTTTCTATAATCTTGAATTTCATAGAAAAATTGGAATGATCGGAATGTTTACAGTGTTTATAAAGAAGTTTATTGTTATCGGGATCATTTGCATAAGACTGGTATTCATTCATTCTTTCGTTAAGTCTTTATAGTGTATCGTAAACAAAATCTTAAGAAATACAATCAGATTCCCAAGATTATGTGTATTGTAACGTTTGGTAGTTACGTTACTGAACAGGTATCAGTTATGAGTATACCACAGGTTTTATAGTTTATATGATTACATTTAGAAATAAACATTGCTGCGAGTTGTACTTAAAGTCTTATATATATGAAAGTGGTATAACACAGATCCGAATATAATAGAATTTGTCTTAATTTTTGTAGTACAAAATGGAATCTGAAGCCTAAACAAAGGTCGGTTTCGTGCCAACATTTAATGTGATTTAAGAACACCTATTTCATCCAAATTTGTTGTGTTCTTGTCTGCTATGATTAGTTTTCATTCACTGTTTTGGTATATAGTATGCAGTTGGATTTCTTGTTTGAATTGTTTCATATTTGGTCATGCTTGGCCTTAATACTTATCATGCCGAGTGATGTTTTTTTCCGCATTGTTGAAGGCCGTAAGATGACCTATAGTTGTTTACGTCCTATTCCCTATTCATTTTGTCTCTGGTTGATTCACTGGCATTTATACGGCATTTCGTTAATTCAATACGCATATGTATTTAGGCTCATTGAATCACTTTCAGATTCTTGCAGTTCTTTTAGTCTACAACTTTAAATCTATTTACAAAATTACATTGCAACCAATGGTATAACGTTGATTAGTTGCTTTTATCAAACTGGTGGTTAAACTGGTGTTTTTTATTATCAAAAAGATAAAAATCAAACTAAAACAAAGGAAATATAGTGAACAGCAAAAGGAGACTCAGTAGTAAACATTTTCTGCTACAATGTACGCGCCTAACATTCGAATCCAAAAAAATGTTTATGATTTTCGGGAAAAAAACAGCATTTTTTGCAGTATGTTTATCTAATTCTTAATAAATTCTTGGGGATTTGTTCATTAAAATTGCTACAAATAATCTCCATACATAATCAAGCCAAATGTCATTTTTAGAAATAATCGTTTCAAGCTAAAGATTAAAAATCAGTTGAAAAATGCAACTTTAAGCAATATTTCATAGTTTGACGTCGCGAAAAGAAAAAGTTAGTGACGTCGTTATCTCCCCTGTAACTATATCACATGCCCTTAAAACCAACTATTTACCACTGGACGTTAAACAACCAATAATCAATCAATCTTAAAACCCACTCGGCTAAATAAAGGCGGCTCAGACAAGCATTCTGGTATCTTCAGATTTAAAACGTGAAAACATGTCTTTCGTTAGTTGAGAAAATGCAGACACATCGTATCTATCAACCAATATATAAAGATGACCGTAAAACGTGTTGAGATTTGATATTAGTCGAGGAAGAAATTATTGTATACTTAAATTTGAGTTCAACCGAGTACAGTACAACTAAAACCATTGTTTTTGCAGGAATCGTAAGGAATATTCGTCTACTAAAATTAAGTTGCATCCTTATTCTGAGAAACAGTTATAAGTTGTACAACATTACGTAGGAAATAAGAAGGTGTTACACATTATACTTAAGTTTATCTTGTTTGAATGAAAATTAAACACGACTATAATTGTATAGTCATAGTTAACCTACTGTAACTGGAGACTAAATATTGTTTAATAAATACAGCACTACAATATTCGTATTAAATAAAGACATATATTCTAATTGTATAATGATATGGTTATACAGATAACATTGACTTCGGCTTCCTTATGCTAGCCTTTTTTTTTGTGTGTATTTGATTTTTATTCACACATATTCAAATCTAAATATTAAATTTTACGATGCCAATTGTATTGCACCAGATGCATATAACGACTTTAAATGTTAGTGAAGTTCAATGAAGTTAGAGAGCAAATTATGTGATAATCAAAAACCTATACAAACATTGAAGAGCTATTGTTAAGCAGTTACGTCATTGATAAAGATACATCTATCTGCTTTTTTTACTAAATAAATATAAATTTCAAATTAATGTTGCCAACAAAAGTTGTTGATATTTATTTGTTTTTTCTCAATTGAAAGACAGCTTTACTTTGAGCTTTGCACAAGCCTACGTCTGTCTGCATTGCTTATTATTTCTGTTTTCTCTTTTTATGTTGATTTTCTTCTCTCTTTTTTTGTTGTTGTAATTTTCAGTTACTGCCAGCATTATTTTATGCGATTTTATAAAAGATCCCCGGAGAAGCAAAACATTAAATACTTTACTGCGTAATGGTTAACGTATTTTTCATTTGTCTACAGGAAATGGATCAAGTATGATATTTAATTGATTTTCAGTTAATTTTTCTTCAAGTAACAACTTAAATCTCAAACTAAATTATTATACGACTGTCTGATAAGTATAATAATAAAATTATGCCGCTT